GATCCTTCCTCTTCTGCTCCTAGGTACAGTCCCACCTCATTTCCCCAGTGGCATACAGTTCCCACCCAAAGTATACCACTGTCTATCCCTTACCCTAATCTGCCCCCGCTGGGATTTAATGCCCAGCCCCAGAATAGAGTATTCATCACACTTTGCCCGTGCCCCCTCCAGGGTTTCACCAACCTCCTAATGAAACCCCTGCAGAGCTGGGCTCTCCCCGTCCCATACCACGTTATCCCATATGAGAGATTCAGGGTGATAGTAGTTTTAGAATTATAGAAAAAGACAACATATTCTTCAGAAATATCAGATGAAAATATGAATGTAGAAAGGGAGCATTCATACCACTCAGAGATGAAAAAAGAAATAGTCAAATAGTAATTTATAACTCGGTTCTTGATAGAAGGACTTGAGAGTAGATATGCATACAAAAATAGAAAACAGATGTATTAATTAGGGATTTCCGGTATTAAAAAATACGGTTTAGGTTATTAATATGTAATCTAAGATCCAAAGCTAAGATGGTTGAGAATATAATAAGATGTTTAATTCATGGTTGTCAACCGGACGTCCGGATCGGGATCCAGACGGTCCGGTCTGGATGTCCGGATCCTACGTCCGGTTTGAGGGGTCCGGTTGGGCCCAATTTCGAGAAAATTCAAAAAAAAAAAAGGGGTCCCCAGGCGATTTCCCCGTACTTGGCGGACCCCCAAAAATTGTTGGCGCAGTTTTTTGTGCACCGTTGGGCCAACCGGACCGGCCCTGAAGGGCCTGTACTTGCAATCTTGGGTGAGCTTCAGCAGGCCAAGGAGAATTGGTTGTGTGTGTGTGTGTGTGTGTGTGTGTGTGTGGCATTTGTGTGTGTTGTGTGTTGTCATATTCTCTATGCACTCAAAAAAAGCATGACTGTGCCAGACTGTTTCGTCGGACTTTCACCGACTCATCAGGAGGTTGAACCCCGACAGTCTGCCCAGGATTCATTTGACTGATGGATAAGGACTCATGACATCGCCCAGAGCTAGCAACACCCCTGAGAAAAGTGGTCTGTGTGTGTGTGTGTGTGTGTGTGTGTGTGTGTGTGTGTGTGTGTGCACGACACTGTGTGTATGTGAGTGTGTTCAAAATAAGTCGGATAATACAACTACAGCAGTGTGTCTTTTTTTTTCTTTTTTTTTTATAAATAATTCGGACATCCAGACCTGTTCATTCATAACTGGACCGTCCGGTTCCGTATGTCCAGTTGTCCGGATCGGTGTCCGGATTAATCCAGACACAGGTCCGGGCCAGGTGTCCGGTGTCTGGATGTCCGGGTCCGGGGCAACCATGGTTTAATTAGGATGTTGATTGTAGATGATAGTATTAAGAATGATGATTGTGATGATGAGTATCGATATATTTTTAGATTCTTAGATGACTAATTAGTTGGTTGTAGAAATTCTACGTTGATATAGAAAAAGGAGACTTCCCCCACCATACCATGAAAACTTGTGATGATGCTAATGCTGGGTAAAATCAGTAAGAAGAGACATGCGTGAAATCCCCCTAC